AGGCAGAGTTGCTCTGCCCCGGGCTTCCTGGAATCAGCTGCTGATCAGTTTCAGCAGCAGCTGACTTGGGGATGCTTGGGGTTCTTAAGTTGATTCTGTATGTAAGTCAGAACTGGCGGTCAGTTTCAGCAGCGGCTGAATCTGGATGCCAGTTCCGACTTACATACAGATTCAACTTAAGAACAAACCTACAGTCCCTATCTTGTACGTAACCCGGGGACTGCCTGTAAAACATGCTGGCCTCTTGTAAATAGTAGCATGCAATAACCTTATGGCACTGGAACTATCAATAGGGATGGGACAGTGAGCCTCCAAATATTTCTGTAATTACAGTAAAGTTGAGATGACAAGCATCAGGTCACACCACCATACTCTCAGGTTTCAACCAACCACTCCTCTGCTGTGATGAAGCAGTGACCAGTACAAATTTGAATGAATGAAAGGTATTGTTTATGGTCATGGAGGGGGCACCAAGTTCCAAAAATGTCTAAGTTTTTATTTGAGTTTAAAAAGGTTGAAGACAACTCCTGCAAGATTAGAAACATTTATTATAAAATCCATTAACAACTGCTTCAACTGATTATTCAAGAGCTTAATATTACTTCCTCTGAAATCAATGACTGCACCACAAATAAGTGGGGGAGAGGTTGTCTGGGCTAACAAAGCAGGGAAGGGAAAAGAAATGTGGTCAGAGGTGGATGGCAGGCAGGTTTTTCATTCCCTTTAGGAATGTGAGGTACAAAAGGCATAAAGTGTGGGAAAAATTCCTTCCAGGCCACCATTAAAAAAAAGGAGCAAGTGTCAGGGAGAACTTTTTCAGATAAGAAAAAAAAAGGTCATAGGCTATAAGTATGGTGACCATATTTTCTGAACCAAAATTAGGGACACATTAGCCACATCCACTGCCACAAGAAGTCCCACCTCTGAGGTAGTACTCCCCGGGTCAAGATGGACAAATAACCAGAAGTAAACTCCTCCAACCGTCTTCCTACCAACAGGGATGAGTTTGGCCCCCACAAAACACCCCCTCCCATATGCAACTATTCTGCAACTGCATTAACCCAATTTGCATTGCATTAACTCAGGGGAGAGACTGAGGGAAGTGTTCCCTTAAGATTTTCCTCCCATGAGCAGAGTAAATTTTGTCTTGTGCACCAGTATTGAGTTCATGTGTGCTTGTTTGGAGGTGTGCCACTGTGGCAGCCAAGGTATCAATGAATATTTTATAAACCTCTCCCTTTTCCCTCTGCTGCCATGTCTCCTACCCTTCTCTTACCCCATCTACTCCCCTGATGCCTCCTCCCCCCTCACTTGTCTCTACTGTCCTGGCTCCTGCCCTTTTCACCACCATTCCTAACTCTTCCCCTGCATTAGCCCTTCTCTTCCCCATGTCCATTTCTTCTCTAGCCCCACTATGATCATCTGTAACTACCCATCCCCATCCCCTCTCCTAACACTTCCCTCTACCCATCTGCCCTTTCCTCTGGTGCCTGTCCCACCCCTCCAGGTGTCTGCCCTTCACAATCTCCTGGCACCTCCACCTTCCTTACCCCTGCACCTTCCTGGTGCCTCACTCTTCCCTCACTGCCTCTTCCCTCCTTGCCCACTTTCTCCCTGGTGCCCACCTCCTCACCACCCTTTGCCCCAGTTCTCCTCATGCCCGTCTGTGGCCTCACACATGACTTGCTCCATCCCCTGTATTCCTCATGTCCATCCCTCCTTTCAATGCTTCTTCTCCATGCACCCACTCCTTTTCCTCCCTCTTGCCCCCATTGTCCCTCCCCTTTTCTCTCCCAGTACACCCTGTCCCCTCACCTCTTCCACTCCCACTGGACACCTTCCTTTCCCTCCCTCCACCTGCCCTTTTCCTCACCGTCTCCTTTTGCCCCACTGGCATTTCTCTCTCCTCCACCCTGCCTCTTGGTGCCTGCCCCTTTCTTCTCCTGCCCTGTCCCCCTTCCTCTCAGTACAAGCCCCTTCCTCTCCTCACCCCCACCTTCTCCTTAGTTTCCCTCCTGCCCCTTCTCTCACCTTCTGCCTTCCAGTTTGAGGGCTGGAGCCTGCAGTCCAGCCCCAGAAGTCCCCACAACCCCAGCCGCTCCTGACATGGGACCGCTTGCTGGGAGTGGAGCCAGGGCCACCTGCGGTGCTATTTTTAGTGCTACAATCCAGTCCCCGCAGGCTGCCCAGCTCCAGGTGCAGTCAAGCAGCAGCCGCACAAGGCACATTCCAGCCGGGGCAGACTCACCGAAACGCGCCTCATGGGGTTGCCACTTGAGTCCAGCTGGAGCCAGGACTGCCCGTGGGGACTAGAATGCAGTACTAAAAGTAACTCCACAGATGGGCCCCGCTCCAGTCCCAGCACCTGCTAAGCCAAGCGCACCTCACCCCGCAGCGCCCCAGCTGGGCTCCGTTCAGCTCTTGCCAGGGCTCCAAGGTGGCCTGGAGGAGAAGAAGGTGGGGCCACCAGACCAGGGCCCCATATGGCAAAGGCGGTCCCATGGGGGAAAGGAAGAGGACAGAGAGAGAGAGAGGGGCCATGCACCACCAGAAGCTGGCCCAGCTGCTGCACTGCACCGGTGTCCCATCAAGTAGTGAGATTTCTGGCAGGGCTTTCTGGGACATTTCACTACTTGATGGACCACCGGAACAGAGCATTTAAATTTGGGAGAGTCACAGAAAAAAGAAAGAGACACATGATCAGCGTAGCTATAAATAGCAGTTTATTTCATAAGGCTGGATGAATGTCTAGTGCAAGGTACTCCATAGGCAAGACATCCAGAAACCAGATAAATGGCCTGATAAAGGACTTAAGAGGTACTGAATAAAGGAAAAATGAGGGAAGCGATAGGGTGAACTCATGTGATTGCTACAGCAGGAAACCAGTCCCCTCCCCTCCTGTTCTCATAGTCCAGTTTCACTCTCCTATGAAGTAGGGATGTAATAGTATAGTCGATTAACCAACATGCAAAAGCTTATAGGTTAATGCTATACACAACATGCATTCTCCACCCCTAACCCCAGTAAATTTTTTAGCAGGCTGGCCAGCAGCCTACTCAGTCCCGGCTTGTGCCAGGTCCGGAACCTACTCCCCTCCCCCCGGCAGCCCTGCATTTAAAGTGTATTAGGAGCCAGGCAGGCAAGCAGCCTGGCTCAGTTCCAGCTCATGCTGGGTCCAGGAGCTCAGACCCCACCCCCCACCCCTGGGCTGGGGCTGCTGCCACCTCATGGTGCTGCCTCTGTATCAGGTTAACTGGTGGCCTGAGCCAGGAGGGGCAGCCCACGATGAGCTGCAGGCAAGTAGGGGACCCAGCCTAGCCAGGGCAACCCACCATGGGCATGGGGCTGCTCCAAGGTTAACTGGTTAAACCTAGAGTTGAAATGGATTAACATTTTAAATGATAAATTAACATCCCCAATGCACAGAACCAAAGCCTAATCTACAAAAGGGTTGTTGCAAATTGGACTGAGGTAAATTTATAAAACTGCACTTGTATTGTCCCAACCAACACTACTTCCTTGCTTTCCTGAATACCAGTGTTTTCCCCAAAAAAACATAACAAGGGGTGTAAGAAATAAAACCCAAAATGGCCATTACATAACATGTATTATGAGTTTGAGCCACCTGTACACAATCTTACAACTTTCTTTTTGAAGTTCACTTTACAGTGCAGTATCATTTTCTAAAAGATTCACAACACAAACACATTGAGCATTAAAAGTAATGGGTGAAACTTGTTCATTTTCAAGTTATGAGAGCAAAAAATCTCCAAAATAAAGGGGTACAAGTTGCACCTCTATAAACTGTGACTGTCTGGTCTGGCAACATCCATGGTCCGGCAGGCCCACAGATGTTCCAGGATCTTAAAGTCTCAACATGCTTGGGAGGAGAGGGGGGAGTGGAAAAGCCTGGTTCAATGCAGGGAAGGGGGACAGGAGTCCGGCACAATGCAGGGGGAGAGGAGGTGTAGAATCCTGGTGCTAGGCTCACTTGGGTTTGGGGGAAGGAGAATGGCAGCCAGGTAGGCTGGTGCATGGCTCAACTGAGCTAATGGGGTTGGTGCAGGGCAGGAAGCCTGGCGCAAGGCCCAGGAGGGCTGCCAGGAAACCCAGTGGGGTGGCAGGGCAGAGGGTGGGGCCAGCAGCAGGGGCATCAGAAATCACCTTCCCCTGGTCCAGCAAAATCTCTCATTCAGTACCAGTCAGCTCCTGAGGGTGCCAAACCAGGGAGGTCCAACCTGTATTAATGCTGCTACAAAACATGAACCAGATTTTTCTGAAACTTAGTATTTGCTTCTGGTCTCAAACCTTACATGTCAGGTTTTGAATTTAAAACTAGGATTATAGCTAGCTTATAATAAATACTTTTTCTTGAGATTTCTGATTAAAGAGGATGCCACAACTTCAATGTCACTAATGGCATTTGCCATGTGTATGGTTCTCTGCAGGGATGTAAAAGCTTCTAAAAATATTAACCGTATAACCAAATAAAATCTGAAATCAGTTACATGGCTAAACAAGCTTCATGGGGCCCTGTGGAAGTTTTTTCGTTTAACTGGTTAACCAATAAGCAGATGCTAATGAGTTCCATTTAATTTTTACAACCCTAGTTCTCTACCCAAAATAATAATTCTGACTACAAGAAAAACAATTCTATACTAATTCAGTGTAAATTTTACTAATTACCATACATGATAATCACTTCCACAGTCCTTATATAGTTACACTGTATTGGCATGTAGGTGTCAAGTGATAAAAAGCTATTCTCAAAATCCTTAGTGACAATGCAACAAATCTGGTCTAGTACAGTCTCTTGAGATGACTGGCAAGCAAACAAGGCATTAGTTCTCTAAACACTTGCAATACATTAAGTTCAGAAACACTATCAATTTAACCATCTCTCTATATATAAAAAAGTTTTTCCTGCAGGATGACATCATGATGTCATTACATCACTTTGCATCCTGCAGTCCCTCCCCTTTCAGCCAACCGGCCTCCTCCCTTACTTGTGCTGAGGGCCCCAGCCTCCCTGGTGCTGGGGGCAGTGAGTGTGCGGGGGGGTGGGGGGGTGGCAACCACATGCCCTTCCCAGTCTTCCCGGAGCTTCTGGAGGGAAGTGTGGGAGCTGCGCCCCCTCGTCCCGCAAGGCCTCCCCTGCCGTGACCTTGGCTCAGTCCAACCCCCAGACACCCGGGGCAGGGCGAGAGCCAGGCCCAGCCAGGCCTTGCCTCCTCCCCCACCCTCCCAAGCAGCCATGGGGAGGGGCAAAGTGGCAGGGGGGGCAAGGGCCAAGATGGACTTGGATCCTCGCCGATGGCTGGAGGGAGAGAGCTGGGACCAGCATGGCTTCAACCGGGCCCCCCTCCTTGGTGCCAGGGGGGGCAAAGAGGTGGAGACAATAGAACCCAAGAGCCAAAGCAGTCTTGGGAAGGGGGGAAAGGGATGCAGGGAAGAGTGAAGGGCCTGCAAGGCCCCAAAGAGAGCCCTCTTACCCCACGGCGGCTGGAGTGAGAGAACAAGGCCAGATTCAGCCCAGCTCAATCCCCGGCAGCTGAAGGGAGCTAACTTGGCCAGCCACACCCTCGGCCCAACCCACCCCCCCAGCAGCAGGAGCAAGAGAGGGAAGCCAGGGCTAGCCTGCCATCCCTCAGCCTGGCCCTCCTGGGCTGTCGAAGGTGTGGGGAGGGAGAGGCTACCTATCCTGAGAGGGAGTTTGGCGACTGTAGCGAGCAGGGGGCACCGCCCCCACTACACTGTAACCAAATCTTTATGTTAGTAACACCTTTGATTAGTAACAGTGAGATTTTTAAAAAAATTCTATTTGCCATTATGCGCGGTTTACTTTTTGCCATTTTCACAGAATAAAAAAGTTCATTAAGCAAGTTTTGCTTTCAGATTCTCAGCTGCAATATCTGGATTTCAAGCTTTATAGGAGAATGCTATTAAAAAAACAATTTTAACTGCAATTTTAACATTTTTATTGGCCTGGGTATTTATATTAAAAACCTGGTGTTTTTTTTAAAAACAGAACTTAAGTTGATACACTCCCTTTTAGCATTGTCACCTATTTTAAAAAACCCAAAATGCACATTTCTCGTTTAGAAGATCAGCGGTTTAGAAGCAGGATGTTTCCTTGACATAACTAACCATTAGGGATGTTTAAATGAGTTTATTAAGTTAAACGTGTAACTGCTGAAAAAATTTTGGATGGGGGTGGTCTATGTGTAACCACGACAGATACCCAATCAGCCCACACTCATCGATTACATGTTTACACCAACACATCCGTAGTAACCATTGGCATAGTTTCTTACTTGGACATTCTTCAAACCGACCCAAACCTTGTTTGATATTACTTAACTGTAGTCATTGTTTAAACATATCTGGACTGAAAAATGATTAGGTTTCTTACCTTGTCACAGCTAGTACCAGCTACTAAACAAGATACTTCACCTCCAAGCTGCTTTGCTGCAGTGATAGCATTTAGTGTAATGGGTGTTAGAGACTCATTTGTGTGTTCAGCTATTACCAATGTACTCTGAAATCGCTGGAGCATTGAGGCCTTAAAAAAGAAACACGCATAGGGTTAACATTAAATGTTAAAGGAACAAAGTATTTTACAGTATTACAGAAACCACCTAGTGCCTTAGGGTATGTCTAGACTACAGGGTTTTGTCGACAGAAGTTTTGTCAACAGATACTGTCGACAAAGCTTCCGTTGACAAAGAGTGTCTAGACTACAGCCAGTTCTGTCGACAAAGCAAGCCGCTTTGTCAACATAACAGTGTGGACGCAAAGGTCAGTGTAGATGCAATAATGCCTTCTATCGACAGAACTCTGTCGACAAAAGGCGTTATTCCTCGTAGAATGAGGTTTACATACGTTGACAAAACTGCTGAGTTTTGTTGACGTTATGTTGACATAACTCAAAGGCAGTGTGGACGCAGGTATAGTTTTGTCGACAAAAGTCCACTTTTGTCAACAAAACCCTGTAGTCTAGACACACCCTCATAGAAAGCATTTTTTCTTGTACACTAACACCAAACAAATCAACTGAACTAACTTATTTTTATTAAAGTGTTTGAAGAAATCAGGCTCTAAGCAAGTGACAATATTCTTAACTTCAGTCTATATGCAGCATAGCAGTTTTGAAATAATGGTTAGAACTAAGGAATAACAATTTCATAAGTTAGATTTTTAGGTCAATTGATCAGCCTGGTGAAATGCCTGGTTAAATGGTTTGCTGAGCACATGGAAGTAATAAAGAACTTGGATGGTTGTAGGATGAAATCCACAAGGGAAAGAAAGCAGGACACAATGGGAGGGAAAATGGAGGACACACTGTTTGAAAGCAAATAGATGATTACTAGGGGGTTGTGCCCCACCTGCCTCTCCTTCTAGCAGCCAGCATGGGAGGCTTGTGGGCCTCACGTGTAACCAAACACAATCAGTAAAATGGGGCCCCAACTCCAAATGATTCCCCTTCATTCTGGGTTACATGCAAGCAGCCAGGTAGAGAGAATTTCCTGCTCTCCACGCCCACTTACTGCCCATCTTTGCAGTTTTCCAGAAGTGTCCTTCCACCTGGCAAGCAAGCTCCTGCCGGGGCTGGGACATGCTCTGTATGGACAGGGCACAAGCAAAAGACATGGAATCATAGGGGAGCCCCCAGCTTTACACATCCGCACTCCACTGGGTCACAAGGAAAGAGTACGGTGGGGTAATCTGGGCTGTTAATCCTTATCCCAGAACTCCATGACCCACAGCCCACAGTCCACCCCCCTCCTTCCATCCCTACTCCCACCTCCATCCTCCACCCTATACCTCATCCCCTGCCTCGATTCCTATACTCACCATCCTCCCCAACCTCTCCCCACCCCACACTGCCTATCCCATCCTTCCCTAACCCCTTCCCCACACTGCCTATCCAAATCTTCACCTCCTGCCTCCATTCCTACTTCCCCATCCTTCCCTAAACCCTCCCTCTCTGCACCCGCACACTGCCCATCCCCTGTCTCCATTCCTATATCCCCTTCTCACCCCCACAATCAGTGTTCCCTCTAAGCTGCAGGGCAGCACATCTTCACAGATGATTAATCAGCCCTGCCCAGTAAGTCAGCTCCATGCAAGGAGCCCTGAGCCTCTGACTGAGCAAGGCCAATAAATTATAGCTGAGCTGTGGCTGCCTGCAATCCCCCTTACTGCACCCCACATATGTGCTATTCTCCTTCCTTCTTCCCTGTCTACATACACCCTGCCCCCACCCACGAATTCACTGAGCCGCACGCTCAGCTGCAGCCCAGCCTTTCCAATCAGGCTTGTTGAGGTTTGTCTAACCCTGTGTGAAAGGCCTTTGGGGCACCTTTGCTCCATGGCAAACTCAAGGAGTCAAAGGGTAGAGCGGCTACTCTGGAGAGCCAGGGTGCAGCATAACTGCACCGCCCCCAAAGGGCCAGGTGTGCGCTGTGGCCAAGACCTGCCCGGCTCGTGGTGGGCCCAGGAGAGCCTGCCTGAGCCAGGTGCCTGGCCCCAATGCTTCAGTGGGTGCACCCCTTCCCGGCAAGGCCAGGATGCAGTGCAGAAAGCAGAGCCCTGCCAGGAGCCAGAGGGGGGAAGCAGGGAGCTGGGGCTCCAGCAGGAAGTCAACAATGCTTTGGGGACAAAGGGGCGGACATGGAGCCCCAGAGGGCGAGGCCTTCTCGAGGGGCCCCAAGGTGCCCCAAAACTCAGTGGGGGCAACCCCCCAAAGGGCTGTGCCTCCACAATATTCACTGGAGCCAGGGAATCTCAGAGGGGAGCTGTCAGTGCAGGAGCCCTGTCCAGCCCCAGTAGACACCATCTGCAGACCCCCAGCCCCAGCTCCTCACTGGCCATGTCCATGCTCTCAATTTCCTGCAGGATTCGCTCATGCTCGGGGGAGGCTCCCCACCATCTTGGGTGGGAGAGAACAAGACAGTGGTGCCACCACAGGATGCATTGGAGATGCAGTGTTGCAGCCACTGCCGGGGACTGGACCCCTACACTCCTCACCTTCACCCCAAAAGCTGCAACTCAGGATCCTGCTGGGACAGCCAAGAGGCGCTGCTAGCACCGCAGTGGACTGCTAGGAGAGGTGCGCACCCGGAGATGAAAGGATGTGGGGTCACTGAGAAGTCAGGAACTGGAGGGGAGAGCAGGGATTCAGGGGGAATGAACTGGGCCACAGGAGAACTGGGAAAGGAGAGAGGGGACAGAAAGAGACGCACCAGGGAGGAGGTAGGTCACATGGCTCCCGCCCAGGGGCCACGCAGCTGAGGGCAGAGGCACACAGCGGGATGCAGAGTGATGTGAAAATGTCACTCAGTCATCCTGTAGGAAAAATTTATTTGTACATATACTGATCGCTACACGCACTAACACCCCTCTCACAAGGGACAGGCAACCCTGGTTCTCCCTACAGCCATCAGGGAGAGCCTGTGCTTATTTTGTAAAAATATTGTATTCTTACTTTGCCTTATAACAGTCAGGAATTGGGAAAATAAATTAATAATTAGGATCTTAAGCAATTTGCAATCTAAAGAAACTGTAACAAAGTCTATTGCACATGCATCTGACGAAGTGGGTCTCTGCCCACGAAAGCTTATGCTCCTACACTTCAGTTAGTCTATAAGATGCCACAGGACTCCTCGCCACTTTTATTGGACTGTATCCACACTTTAATCTAAGTGTAATATATTTTATTTTTAAAATGATCAATTTTTTTCTGAGGATTCAACCAATATCCCAACAGAGTCCAATATGGCCACTTAAAATAATCACTTAATCAATTCTGGTCTTTTATTAGAACTAGTTCTGCAGCACTTCAGATTATAAAAATTGCAACAACAGAAACAGGATCAAACTGAAATGAAACAAAGAATTCTAAACATTGTTACTTTGTTTCACCATCTTCCAGACAGTAATGAAATGCCAGAAATATATTACTTCTATAAGGCAAATACAGGGTATTGTAAAAATGAGATTACTCTTTTCAATCCTAATTAATTGGTCAGCCTAAGCATAACATAATTCAGACACACATTAGTGTTAAAAAGTTCCATTTTAACTTAAGTTTTTTATATGGAAAAACCCTGTTAATATTGGTAGGTAAAAATTTTAATGAAACCCCAGCATTGAAACCTGAAAACAGATATATTTATTCAAAATAAATTATATACTCCCAAAATGGGTGATTATGCATTTCAACAAAAAAGGTGGAGAAGATCTGAGGGCTAGAATTCCCAGTGCAAGGGTGAATCATGCAAAGACTTAACCAATTCACCTTCAGAGTGTGACCAGTCTCAGGTCTTCAGTGGAACTACTCACAGTGCATAAAGTTAACCATGAAAATAAACCTTTGCAGGATCAGGGCCCTAATTTGTACTCATGATCTGAATAATATCAGTTTTTGTAACAATACTTTGTATTTCATCTCACATACTTGTTATAAGATTTTAAAATTGTTTCAAGCAATTTGCCAATTAAATTATTGACAATATCAGACACCATATTTGTTTATACACCATTTCCCCCAATAATTGTGAGATTTTAATCATTTGAAAATTAAACCCATGCTTGAAATTACACCCCCCCCCCCCCACACACACACACATACACACTTTTAAAACAGGCAAAGACACAGCAAACACGCACTAATACTTCAGTTGTATTTCACTACAGCATACAGTAGATTAATTTAGCAGAGCATTGGCCACTCACACACAATAAACAAAATCACTGAACACTATTGCAGATAGTATTTTGAATTAACTATGTAGACTGGCTGCCCAACTGAGTGATTTTTTAAAAAGAAATATAGCCACCTTCAACTCATACCTGTATTATTTTCCAAAGGATTTGTCATAAATCTCTCCCTATCAACATATAAGATCACATAAGATAGTAATCAGGTATCTCCTGCATATTTAGTGCCACAAAACCCCACAAAGATAATGAACCCAAGAGGATCCTCCAAGATCTTCATTACTGTATGGGAGAATACAAGGGAAGAGCAGCTGCCCTCACAGTGCCACTTCTTATACCTGCTCCAAGACCAAGACCCTCCAGAGCAGGGGGGGGCAAATACCGGCACACAGGCTGGATCCAGTCCACCAGGGTTCACCCATAGAGGCCTGCTATATTTACTTGTACCTCTATAGGTACTGGCTGGGAACAGTGATCGCCAATGGAAGCGGCAGGAAGCAGTGTCTCACACCACTTCCCATCACTACCATTGGATGGGAAAAGTGATCCGTGGCCAAAGGGAGCTGCAATCGGTGGTGCCTGCAGAGGCACAGGTAAATATAGCTACAAGCAGCCCACCAGGTGCTAACCTGGTAAACCACTGTAGTTTTATTGCCCACCACTGCCCAACAGTCAGGGACCTCAAGAGCCAATACCACTGTGCTAACAGGTCCATGAGAAGCTGCCTGTGGCCAAAAGATGGTGAAAAGGTACAAGAGCTACTGTGCTATTTGGATGTGAATCTTATCCCTTACGTTAACATGCTTCCATACTGCACTCAACAAAAGGAATGATATGTTG